AGAGAGAGAGAGAGAGAGAGAGAGAGAGAGAGAGAGAGAGAGAGGTAGAAAACGGGCATTCTGCGTCAGTATACGAATATTAGCTTTATCAAAATCACGCTGTAAAACATTTGTATACCTTCGTTACACAAACATCTAAGGATAATATGTATCTTTGTATCTATAACACACAGATAGGTGTGAGAAATAAGCGTTTTACAAATGGGTATTCGACGAGAAAACATTTTTAGAAAAAAATAGCCCCCTTTTAAAAAGAGACTGTGAAAGGAACAGGACAAAACAACATTTTTCACGACGTTATTTATCATCCGTTCCCTGTAATCCGTAAATGACATGGGAGATCTTTAAAAAAGTTATTTTCACATTTTTGAGGAATATCGTCATGCTGCTTTCAAAACAGATTTATGTCGTAACTTTGCTCGTTCCGGGTGATTCTCACTCCCTTTAATGTCGCCGGCTTCAGCAGACATAATATCTAGACTTTGAACCAGAACACAGTCTACTGTTTATCTGTTTCTGTCAGCCCGGGCAATTTAGTCGATGTTGAGAGCTTCAAAAATGCATTTCATTATCACTAACATTTGTTATGTTTATTGAGAGCTAAAGTATTCTTCTGGGAACGTTTCCGGATCTACACAATACAGTTTTTCTGTCCAGTTTCTTATGTTCTGAGCCCATTATTATAGCAAGCACTTATTTTGTTGTTGATTTCGGACATGTAATGTGCTAAATGATAGTAAATAATGTCAGTGTCCTTTTGCAATAAAAGCATAGGCTAGTTTAGAAGGTTGGACTAGATTCTAATCAGTAAATGTGCATATTTTTGTGATAATAAACCAGCTTCACGAACATGACCATCATTCTAAAATGTTATTAAGGGCGAACTGTTTCGTCGTCACTTTCAAATAGCAACCTGCATTGAATACACTGATGAGTTCATTGTGAACTTCTGTAATAATTTCTCGCCATGGACCAAGTAGAACTCATTCAATCATTCATTCAGCCATTTAGTCATTCAGTCATTCATTCAATCATCCATTCATTTATTTATTCATTCATTCATTCATTTATTCATTCATTGATTTATTCATTCATTCATTTATTTGGTCATTCGTTTGTTCATTCATTCATTTATTCATTCATTAGTTAAGGTTTCTGTAGAAACAGAAAATAAAGACTTCGGCGTTCCCATAGCAACAACAGAGTCCATCACAACGAAACAAGAGAATTGTCATATCTATGCCGTGTAGCAGAAATATACAGAATATGGTCCATTTATTTTCTTTCAAAACGCAACTTTCTAGCACCTTCGCTCCCCCCTCCCAAAAACAAACAAACAAACAAACAAAACAAAACAAAACAAAAAAGAACTCCCCCAAAAATACCCAACTACGCAGACACCCAGTTGCCCCTCAGTAAAACCACCCACTTCGAGAGTACGCAAAAATCTGACTCAGCAAGTATAGACCTTCGAGAAAATATTCATGTTATCGTTGTATACCGAAGAGAGAGAAGTTTCGTCTAACAACTCAAAAGACTTTCTCTTATTTTTATTTTTTTGTGTGAAAACCTCAAAGCCTTACCTGTTCACAGTCTCACACGTTCTTCAGACACGCTTTTGTACTAACTTTAATTTGTAATTTGAAATATGCAGATTTTCTGTAAGGCGCCAGTGTCATTTTAATGTGATTGTGTCCCGTCATATCCGACAGAGCGCATCGAAAGCCGCCATAGCGAGAAAGCATAATACTTTATTCATGACAAACTTTCGCTTTCGTCTCTGGAAAGAGTTGACGTTTCTTTTTATGAAGCTCTGGATTCGCTTCTGAGCGACCTTCGACATTATGAACACGGAATTAGGCGCGAGTTCTTTGAGCGAGTTCACTTTTTGATTTGGACTTCTCTCTGGATAAACGATTAATTTTGTAAACACCCACTTGAATGCCGTGGTGACTTTTTCTTTTTCCTTTGTTCAGTTAGTCTTTTTGCTGGTATAAAATGACAAAGTTGTTAGTAAACTAAGCTAATAGTAAGCTTTAAGATATATATAT